AAATAGTAGTTTTATAAGCAGTTCGAGCAATTTAATAAGCAAGAACGTACCTTTTGCATAATGGGTCACCAAGTTAACATTATATGCAAGTTTGCGCGTAGTTAAACCAATCATCAAAAAAATGATAAGTGTTTAATGTTAGACCCGAAGCCTGATGATCTTACCACGATCAGGATGTAAACAGTCCGAACGGTATATCGTTGCATAGATATCCGAAGAATTGTGGTACGTTTAGTGAAAGACAAAACTGATCAGGATAGCTGGTTTTCTGCGAAACCTATAATAGTAGGCAATTCAAATAACATCTTAGCAGGTACAGAACTTAATCTCAGACAAGGTGTAAATATTTTAATTATAAAAATACATTTTGACTTGTATATATCGGGGGATCGTGAAGATTCTATCGGTGAGTATGTAGACTCGGAATGGCAAAGATGAATGTTGAATTATCAGACATAGAGTGCTAAGGTTGTATGTCAAAAGGGAAACAGCCCAGAACAAGATTTAAGGTTCCAAAATTATTAGTTAAGTGAAATTAAGAAGGTTTCTAATTAAGTCGACAAGAAGATGGGCTTAGAAGCAGCCATAATTTTATGAATTCGTAACAGAGCGCTTGTTAATTTTTAGGAGCATCGAAAATTTAACGGATCTAAACAATATACCGACATCTTGTCCATTTTTAACAGTAATGATAAATATTACTGTTATTTTATGGGGTAGCAGAACGTTGAGTTGGTATTAGATTTTTCTTTTGTAAAGAAAAATATAACGCGATAACTCAAGTGAGAATGGTGACATTAGTAACGAAAAGAAGAATATTTTAGCACATTAATGTGTGCTAGAAAAATTTATTCTCCGCCTAAAGCTTATGGATTTTTAAGTAACGGCCTCTAAATTAAAAATCTAAAGATTTTGATGATGAGAAAATCTTTATTACTGAACAACAACATTTTAAGTGTTAAATGTGCTGGAAAAGTAGTAATATGTTATATATATATATAATAAAATAACCGTACCTAGAAACTAAAAAAAGTAAGCTAGTAGAGTATACGAAGGCGTATAATGAGCTAACAATCATAAAGGAACTCGGCAAATTGACTACGTAACTTCGGAATAAGGAGGTCTCATTAGTCTTGATTAATATCAAGTAAAAAGGAAGAAGCATGAAATAGTGTTGTACGACTGTTTAATTAAAACACAGCACTTTGCTCAAAGATTAAAAATCTAAGTATTGAGTGTGATGTCTGCCCAATCCCGGCTGGTTAACAGATATAACTAAATTTTTTAAGAGAGTTTGGTGTTGACGGAACCCCCGGTCAATGGCGGCCTTAACGTGAGGGTCCTAAGGTAGCGAAATGCCTTGGCCGTTAAATGCGGTCTTGCATGAATGATTTAACGATACAACAGCTGTCTCTATGATTGACTCAGTGAACTTGGAATAACTGTGAAGATACAGTTTACCTCTAGTTGGACGAGAAGACCCTATGCAGCTTTACTGTTACTAATTATAGGGTACGGAAACAAATATGTTTAGATTATAAGGTACATTAATAAATAAAAATGAAAATCCTTTATATTTCTTCCGTATTTATGAACTAATTTAGGAATAATTATATTTCGATATAATTATTAGTGAATTAACCTAGTTCAGCTTGAAAAAGCGGCCTTAGGTAAGGAACTTATCGTTAGGAGACAGTTTATGCGGGGCACAGACCCCATAAAGAGTAAATGGGAGTGTCTAATATTAACAATGTATGAATGCAACTTGTATTCATTTATAATATTGTTTGTCATATTATACAGTTTTACTGTATTTTATCTTATTAAATTATTTGTTTAATCTGCACGGTCAGATACTCGAATAATATAGTTTATATAGATTTTTTAGGTACGATTTTATCTAACGTGAGATTAGATGTAATAAAACCATTATGAATATTTCTAATGGTTTTTTAGTTATTATTTTAAATAATAATGTTGATTATTACTTAATAGGCTCAACGGCTAAATCGTGCCTTACTGTTTGATTAACAACAAATCTTACAGTTGCGTAAGCAGGGCGTAGGATCACAAGATGCAAAAAGGAAAGATCTTGGATTATAGGAAAAGCTACGCTAGGGATGTTTGTCCTTTAATAATTATGTTACATAATTATTGATAATAAATTGGGTTAAATTCAAGAATTACTTCTATAAGAAGTAAATTTGAAGCGAAATTTATCTTGGCAAATTAATAAATGAGATAAAAACGTTCAACGACTATAAGGTGAGATATGCTAACAATAATCCTTTATAACACCCAACATTTTTATTAAAGATAATTTAATAAAAAAACAAAATAAAATAAATTTTTTTTATAATGAATAATAAATTAAAAATTTTTAACAGTAATATTAATAATAAATATAAACTTATACCTTTTAATTTAAAGTTAAGTGACTATAGAGATAAATATGAAGCTCCGGTTTCTAAAGAATGAAAAAATACTGCATATTTCTACGATAAAAATAATCTTAAGAATATACCTTTAAATGATATAAATATTAATAAAAAAATAGAATCTTATTTTAACTTGCATTTTAAAAATAAGTTTATCTCTTTAAAAGATATGCCTCTTAGAAGAAGAAATTCTTTATTGAGAAGAATATATGTAAGTAATATAGAAATTAAACATACTAATAATAAAGCAATAATAACTCTATATGTTATAAATACTCAAAAAAGAACTTTATACAAAAGATACATGAATAGTAAAAGATTTTTTGAAAGTTTAAAATTTAATATTTTGAATCTACAAAAGAAATATTTTGAATACAGAATTCAAATTTTGAAGTATAAATTAACAGAAAGTTTTTTAAATAACAAATTTATACTTAGAAGAACTAAAGCTTTACAATTTACATTTGAATTTTTAAATAAAATAATTAATTACTTTAACTTATCTTTTAATGAATTTATTAAAAAGAATATCTTTAATAAGTTAAAATTTATTAAAAAAATAAATATTATAAGAAGACATGTTTATGCATACAAAATAAATAAATTTAAGTTTGAAGAAGTATATTTTTTATACAAATTAAACAATTCACTAGTAAAAATTTTAAATAAAAAAATAGAGTACAATATAATTAATTTAAAATCTCTTGTATATAATACTGATATTTTTACTAAAGCTTTAGCCTTAAAATTAAAAAAAAGAAAATTCTCTCTTATGAGAGCAATTAACAGTATAATTAGTAGAGCAAAGTTTCCTAAAGTAAATACAGTTATAGAAAGAGCAGATTTAAGTAAATTAAAAGATACAAATTTAGTTCATAATAAATATAAAGATGTTCATTTATTATCTAATTTAAAAAATAATGAGGATTTTTTTATGTTTTTAAGAAATATGTACAATATACATAATAAATATTTAAAATCTCATACTTTAAGATTAACTTCTACAGGATTAATTGGAATTAACAATAAAAAAATGGAAGAAGTAATAAAAAGATTAATTTTTAATTCAATTAAGCATAAAAACATGGGAGGTATAAGATTGGAACTAAAAGGTAGATTAACTAGACGTTATAGAGCGGATAGAGCTGTCTACAAATTAAAATGAAAAGGAGGTTTAAAAAATATAGAATCTTCTTTTAATAATTTATCTTCTGTGCTTTACAGAGGACATTTTAAACCAAATGTCGCTTATTCAATCACTAACTCAAAACGTCGTATAGGTGCTTTTGCAGTAAAAGGTTGAATTAGTGGTAAATAAATATATAATTAAATATTATTAATAATAAAAATGAAGACATAGTCTGAACCATTTTGTGAAAAATGGAAATTAAAACGATAACAAATAGAACAGGCTAATTTGCGCAAGAGTGTACAAAATGAGTGCGCGGTTTGGCACCTCGATGTCGGCTTAACTTATCCTCATGGATGCAGAAACTATGTAGGGTACGACTGTTCGTCGATTAAAAAGTTACATGAGCTGGGTTAAATACGTCGTGAGACAGTATGGTTTCCATCCTCTAGAGGGAATTAGAATATAATAAGGAACAACTTTTGTACGAAAGGAACTAGAAGTATATATTTAATATACCTTGATAACCTCTGGTTTACCTGTTGTTTATATGCCCAATATTAATTTATAATATAATAATAATCATTATTATACGGGATTTTTCTATTAACACTTAGGTTTATATATAGTATAAGCACGGCAGGAAAGCTAAGTTAGCTAAAGTTAAAAGCTGAAAGCATATAGGCTTGAAACTTACCTTAAGATATTTCTTAAATATACGTAATATAATATTACGAACACAATAGGCTTTATTTGAAAGATTTAGAAGATTTTAGGAATAAAGTACTAATTTTATAAATGACTAAAAGATAATATATCTTATGTTACTTAATTGTCTGGTTAGCATAAAAGTAATGCAATTGTTTTGTAATCAATTGAAGTAAGTGCGATACTTACACTGGACTAAAAGGATTAGTAGTCAAATGGTAAGACACAGCATTTTCACTGCTGGGATTGTGAGTTCGATCCCCACCTAGTCTAATGCGGGTTAATGTAGTAGTAACATATTCGACTCATGATCGAAATAGGTTGGTGCAAATCCTTCACCCGCATATGAGGCTATAACTTAATTGGTAAAGTGTACTGCTCATGACAGTAATTATAAGTGTTCAAGTCACCTTAGCCTTATTTAAATCCGAGTGCTGGAATAGGTAGACAGGGTATTCTTAAAAAATACTGATGAAATTTCGTGAACGTTCGAGTCGTTTTTCGGATAAGGAGGAAGGTGTGTATCAACTTACGCTTACGCGCCAATAAAAAGGGGCGCTCTTTTTATTTGCGCCCGAATAAGGAGGGGGTGTAGTTTAAATTGGTAAAACTACGAATTTGCACTTCGTTGTTTCAGGTTCAATTCCTGACGTCTCCAAGGCTCGTGAAGCTCAATTGGTAGAGCAAAATATTGAAGCTATTTGGGTTGTAAGTTCAAGTCTTATCTCGAGCATTAAAGGAAAGGAGATTAATTATAATTAAATGTAATAAAATCGAATGAAACATAATAGAATGGAATGGGTGTGCTGGAACTGGCAGACAGGTTTCACTTAGGATGAAATGGTTTAAGTGCCTTGCAAGTTCGACTCTTGTCACCTATACATTCATTATGATAAGAGTATAATTTAATTGGTAAAATATGAAGCTTCAACCTTCAACTACTTGGTTCGAGTCCAAGTGCTCTTGTGTATGTTGTGGACTAATGGGTAAGTCATAAATTTTTGGTATTTACTATTGAGTGTTCGAATCACTCCGACATAAGGTGAATATAGTTCAATGGTAGAGCGACTGTATGTGGCACAGTAAGTTCCCTGTTCAACCCAGGGTATTCGCCCTAAATTATTGCTATAGTTACGATTAGGCTATAAAACATCTAATTTAATTAATATAAAAAAAGCTTAAATTATGTTTAATCAATACTTTGGCTCATAGTTATTAAGAATAACACCTATATATAATTAGTTCGACAAGAACCGAAGCAAAGCTAGGATAGTTTAACCGGTTAGAACTTTAATTTCATACATTAAAAATGAGAATTCGAATTTCTCTCCTAGCTAATCAAATGATAATGATAACTATATTATTTTTATTAATTTCTAATGCCGTGGTATCAAGACGAGATGTAGCTATATTATTTAGTAGGATAGCAATTATTGGTTTAATTTATTGTATTTTAAATGATTTCATTAGTTTAGCCGCTACTAGTAAAGGTATCGGACTACATGGAGGTTTAGTTTACATAAGTAATATAACACAAGTTTTCCATATTTTTATTTTTATAATAAGTATCTTAATTTTACAATTAACTGGTTTTCATTACAGAAAACTTTGAACTTCTGAATATGCTTCTTTAAATCAACTGTTATTTAATAATTTTAATTATTACAGTACTAAAATTATCAATAAAATGGGGGAACAATTTAAAATAATAGAATACCCATTAATTTTATTATTTATAATAACAGGGGCATGTTTATTAATATCAACTAATGACTTAGTTTCGATTTTTCTTTCAATTGAATTACAAAGTTATGGTTTATACTTACTTAGTACTATATATAGAAATTCTGAGTTATCTACAACAGGAGGTTTAATTTACTTTTTAATAGGAGGGTTAAGTTCATGTTTTATTTTACTTGGAACTAGTTTACTATATGCTAATTCAGGTACTAGTAGTTTAGATGCTATATATGTTATAAATAATATAAGTGATATTAATAGTATAAATTCTTGATATAAACCTTATTATATTAATTTTTCTTTATTAATATTTAGTTTAGGATTTTTAGTAAAAATAGGAGCTGCTCCTTTCCATTTCTGATCTCCAGATGTTTATGATGCTATACCTACTGTTGTTACTGCTTTTGTAGCTATTATAGCTAAAATATCTATATTTATATTCTTATTGCAATTAGTTTACTATACAAATAATAATTTATTTGAAATAAGTTGAACTTTCAGTTTAATAGTTAGTTCATTCTTATCTTTAATAATAGGAACTGTTGTTGGTTTAACTCAATTTAGAATAAAAAGATTGCTTGCTTATAGTACAATTTCTCACGTAGGATTTATATTATTAGCTTTAGCTGTATCAAGTGTAGAATCTATCCAGGCATTCATATTCTATATAGTACAATATTCAATTAGTAATTTAAATATATTTATAATATTAATTGCTATAGGTTATTCTTTCTTTTCTTACGTAAGTAGTGATGCTGAAAAAGATAATTTAATAGATAAAAATAATTCTCCTATCCAATTAGTTAGTCAATTAAGGGGATTCTTTTATGTGAATCCTTTCTTAGCTATAAGTCTAGCTATTACAATATTTTCTTTTGTAGGTATACCTCCTCTTGTAGGATTTTTTGGTAAACAAATGGTATTAAGTGCTGCATTAGATAAAGGATATATTTTCATTGCCTTAGTTGCAGTATTTACAAGTGTAATAGGTGGAGTTTACTATTTAAATATTGTAAAAGAAACTTTCTTTTATAAACCTAACTGTTCTATGATAGAAGAATATGAAATATCAGGATCTATTAGAGATAAATCTGATAAAGAAATCAATAAAATTTCTGTTAATAATACTAATATTGTATTAAGTAGTCCAATTGCTTTCACAATTTCTACTATAACATTAATAATTTTATTATTCATATTTATAAATAACGAATGATTAAGTATGGGTACCATATTGGTACAAATATTATTTGATAATTAAATGAGTAGTATGACTTTCTTGTTTATATTTATAGCAGTACTAGCTGTAGTATTTTTATTATTAAATTTCATATTTGCACCTCATAATCCCTACCAAGAAAAATATAGTATATTTGAGTGTGGATTTCATAGTTTTTTAGGTCAAAATAGAACGCAATTTGGTGTAAAATTCTTTATTTTTGCTTTAGTTTATTTACTATTAGATTTAGAAATAGTTATGATATATCCTTTTGCTGTTAGTGAGTATGAAAACGGTATTTATGGATTAATAGTAGTTCTTATTTTTATAATTATTATAACGATTGGTTTTGTTTTTGAGTTAGGTAAAAATGCCCTAAAAATAGAAAGTAAGCAAACAAAAGTTTTAATGCAAAAATCTGATAACTTTAGTTACTTTGATAAGTAATTACTCAAAAGATTATGTTATAGATGGTCTATGCTCAGATTGCAAATCTACAGCTAGAGGTTCGATTCCTCCATAGTCTTCAAATCATATAATGATACATAAATTTATAATATTATATGTGTGATTATACATAAGAATATTATTTTATAAAAAAATCGGTGATGTGTGTGTATAAACATATCTGACTGATTATCTAATTAAATAAAAAAAAAAAATGAGATCATTAAAACATACTTCTTTATTAAAATTAGTTAATTCATATCTAATTGATGCTCCTCAACCTACTAATATAAGTTATAATTGAAATTTTGGTTCTCTATTATTATTATGTTTAGCTATTCAAATCATAACAGGTGTAACTCTTGCTATGCATTATAACCCTAGTGTAGCTGAAGCTTTTAATTCTATAGAACATATAATGAGAGATGTAAATAATGGATGATTAGTACGTTATTTACATAGTAATACAGCTTCTGCTTTCTTTTTCTTAGTGTACTTACACGTAGGAAGAGGTATATACTATGGATCATATAAAAGTCCAAGATTCGCTACTTGAGTTATAGGAACTGTAATACTTATCTTAATGATGGGTACTGCTTTTTTAGGTTATGTTCTTCCATATGGACAAATGTCATTATGAGGTGCTACAGTTATTACTAACCTTATAAGTGCAATACCTTGAATAGGACAGGATATTGTTGAATTTATTTGAGGAGGATTCTCTGTAAATAACGCAACTTTAAATAGATTCTTCTCTTTACATTTTGTATTACCTTTTATATTAGTAGCGTTAGTATTAATGCACTTAATAGCTCTTCATGATACAGCGGGATCTAGTAATCCTTTAGGTGTATCTGGTAATTATGATAGAATACCTTTTGCTCCTTATTATCTATTTAAAGATCTAGTTACAATACTTATATTCTTTTTTGTTTTAAGTAATTTTGTATTCTTTGCTCCTAATGTATTAGGTGATAGTGATAACTATATTATGGCTAATCCTATGCAAACTCCAGCAGCTATCGTACCAGAATGATATTTATTACCTTTCTATGCGATATTAAGATCTATCCCTAATAAATTATTAGGTGTTATAGCAATGTTTAGTGCATTAGTGATATTAATAATATTACCTTTTACTAACTTCAGTCAATTAAGAAATCTACAATTTAGACCTTTAGGTAAAAGTATATTCTTCATATTTGTTGTAAATTTTGTGCTTTTAATGATTTTAGGATCTAAACACGTAGAAAGTCCTTATATCGAATTAGGTCAAATCTGTACTGTATTATACTTTGGATATTTCTTAGTTTTAATGCCTAGTGTAACTTTAATTGAAAATTACCTATCAAATATTGCATCTTCAACTTCTGGAGATAAATAGTTTCGGTTTGTTCTCTTTTCTTCTCTTCTTTAAAACTCACGAAATAATCGGTTACTAGTCTAAAAAAAATTATTTTTATGGACTATTTAAGTTTGTAGTGGATAACTTTTTTCTTATGGAATATTACATGAAATCGGATAAACTAAAATAGCTGGCTCTTAGTCTAATAAATTCTAAAAAATATTCTATTAGTTATATATATATATAATTAAAATGATTCAAGCAGCAAAAATAATTGGAACAGGTTTAGCCACAACTGGTTTAATAGGAGCAGGAGCAGGTATTGGTGTAGTTTTTGGTGCGTTAATTTTAGGAGTTGCAAGAAATCCATCATTAAGAGGTCAATTATTTTCTTACGCTATCTTAGGGTTTGCATTCTCAGAAGCCACAGGATTATTCGCTTTAATGATGGCATTCTTGTTACTATACGTGGCATAATATCTCTATAAGCTATATTATACTTATTATAGTATTAACCTTATAATTAAATAAATGGCTTTTAAGTTGTAGATAGTACACAAATAGAAACATTGTTTTATTTTCATGTATAGTCATTGATTAAAAAAAAAATATTTTATTAAAAGTATTTATTTTAATCAAAGGAAGATTCGTTTGTAGGTATGACGGGCTGAATTGTAAATTCAATAACTAACAGCTATCAAAGGTTCGAGTCCTTTTCTTCGTAAACAGGTACATATCCGTCAATTAATGGGTAGTAATTTGTATCTTTAGTATTAGTAATACATTATTTTACCTATAATAAGTATAAACTTATTAGTCTAAACCCAGAGATAAGTAGAACCGGGAATAAGTGGATTAATTATATAGGTAAAAAGTCTTAGACTTTTACTCAAACATTAAGTTGTTCTTAGAGTATAAATTCTAGCATATCCTATCCTACTAAGGCTCCTTCTATTACTAGATTAGCTACTAATCTAGCTATGGTTGAAGGAACAATTCTATTAGATGCCCTGTAAGGGATATTAAGGAGAACAATAATAACTAGCGTATTATAAATTATTGTTACTATACTATAACCATGATTCTTTTATACTATAAATTGTAGAATATCTGACTTAATCAGAATTTAGTTCTATGAGGAACTAATTCTAAAAAGGCCAAAAATATATTGGTTTCTCTTCCTGACCAAGAAAAATCCAATATAAAAAATATTAACTTATCTTCAATAAGTTTGAATGTAGAAAGATGATTCTTTTCTACAAATGCTAAAGATATTGGAAATTTATATTTAATTTTTGCATTATTTTCAGGGTTATTAGGTACAGCTTTTTCTGTTTTAATAAGAATAGAATTAAGTGGACCTGGTGTACAATACATATCGGATAATCAATTATATAATAGTATAATTACAGCTCACGCAATATTAATGATATTCTTTATGGTTATGCCTGCATTAATAGGAGGTTTTGGTAATTTCTTAATGCCTTTAATGGTAGGAGGACCTGATATGGCATTCCCTAGACTTAATAATATAAGTTTCTGACTATTACCACCTAGTTTACTATTCCTAGTCTTTTCTGCATGTATAGAAGGAGGTGCAGGTACAGGATGAACTCTTTACCCACCTTTAGCGGGAATACAAAGTCATAGTGGACCTAGTGTAGATTTAGCTATTTTTGCTTTACATTTATCAGGGATAAGTAGTTTATTAGGTGCAGTAAACTTTATAACTACTATTGCTAATATGAGAACTCCAGGTATTAAATTACATAAATTAGCTTTATTTGGTTGAGCCGTAGTTATAACAGCTGTGTTATTATTATTATCATTACCTGTTTTAGCAGGAGCCATTACTATGGTATTAACTGATAGAAATTTTAATACTTCATTCTTTGAAACAGCTGGAGGAGGTGATCCTATACTATACCAACATTTATTCTGATTTTTCGGTCACCCTGAAGTTTATATTTTAATTATTCCTGGTTTTGGTATAATTAGTACAACTTTATCTGCTAATTCTAATAAAACTATTTTTGGTTACATAGGTATGGTATATGCTATGTTATCTATTGGTATATTAGGATTTATTGTTTGAAGTCATCATATGTATACAGTAGGTTTAGATGTTGATACTAGAGCTTACTTCACAGCCGCTACTTTAATTATTGCTGTACCTACAGGAATTAAAATATTCTCTTGATTAGCTACATGTTACGGAGGATCTATTAAATTAACACCATCTATGTTATTTGGATTAGGTTTTGTGTTTATGTTTACTATAGGAGGATTAAGTGGTGTAGTTTTAGCTAACGCTTCTCTTGATATAGCATTCCATGATACTTACTACGTAGTTGCTCACTTCCATTATGTTTTAAGTATGGGTGCTGTTTTTGCCATGTTTAGTGGATGATATTTCTGATCTCCTAAAATATTAGGTTTAAATTATAATATCTATCTATCTAAACTTCAATTCTGATTATTATTCATAGGTGTTAATTTAACATTCTTCCCTCAACATTTCTTAGGTTTACAAGGAATGCCTAGAAGAATAAGTGATTACCCTGATGCATTTACAGGTTGAAATATAGTAAGTAGTTTTGGATCAATAGTTAGTGTTATAGCTGCTTGATTATTCTTATTTATTGTTTACCAACAATTAACAGTAGGAGAAGCTGCTACAAGATATCCTTGATTAACACTTCCTTTCCATACTGATTCTTTAAGAGGTTACTTAAATAGAAATTACAACAGTATAGAATGAGCTTTAAGTAGTCCACCTAAACCACACGCATTTGTATCATTACCTGTGCAAAGTTAAAACCCAAAAAAGTTATATTAATATCATTAATATAATGATGCTTCATTAGCTCAATGGCAGAGCCGAATACTTCTAATATTCTGATTTTAGTTCGACCCTAAAATGAAGTAAATTTAAAAAAGAAAATATTATTATACATTTGATAATATTGTTATTTTATAGATAAAGGTTTATATTGAGAAATTTCGGATATTATTATCAATAAATTTTATTTAAAGGCTGTCAATAAGATTAATTTTAAAAATTATGAACAATTCAACAAATTATATTCACATGGATAATATCTACATAAACAACTATGTAAATCTTTTATCTTTTTTAGAAGTTGTTTTATTGTTATTACCTGCGTTACTTGCTGTAGCATTTGTGACAGTAGCGGAAAGAAAAACAATGGCTAGTATGCAAAGAAGACTTGGACCTAATGCTGTAGGATACTACGGTTTATTACAAGCTTTTGCAGATGCCTTAAAACTTATATTAAAAGAATATGTAGCACCTACACAATCTAATTTATTCTTATTCTTTTTAGGGCCAGTTGTTACATTAATCTTCGCTTTATTAGGTTACGCAGTTGTACCTTATGGTCCAGGATTATCAATCTCAGATTTAGATTTAGGAATATTTTACATTCTAGCGGTATCATCTATAGCTACTTATGGAATACTACTTGCAGGATGAAGTGCTAATAGTAAATACGCTTTCTTAGGTTCATTACGTAGTACTGCTCAATTAATAAGTTACGAATTAGTTTTAAGTTCTGCTATATTATTAATTGTTATGATTACTAATAGTTTAAATCTTAATGCAACAGTACAATTTCAAAAAATAGTTTGACTTATGTTACCTTTATTGCCTATTTTATTAATATTCTTTATAGGATCTGTAGCTGAAACTAATAGAGCTCCTTTTGATTTAGCAGAAGCGGAATCTGAGTTAGTTAGTGGATTTATGACAGAGCACGCAGCTGTTATTTTTGTTTTCTTCTTCTTAGCTGAATATTCTAGTATATTATTAATGTGTATACTAACTAGTATATTCTTTATGGGAGGATATTTAGTGTCTTATGATGTAATTTACTTGTTTGATAAATTAAATTTCATATGAGGGTATATTTTTGATGTTGATTTAATATCATGATATGATAATATTAAACTTCAAGCATTATTAAAAAATCCATTTATGAATGGTCTATTATCTGGTTTAATCTTAGGGTTAAAAAGTTCAATACTAGTTTTTGTTTTCATTTGAGTTAGAGCTTCATTCCCTAGAATAAGATTTGATCAATTAATGTCATTCTGTTGAATGGTATTATTACCTTTATTATTCGCATTTATTATTTTAATACCTTGCGTATTATTTCAATTTAATGCATTTTTAATAAACACTAATATATTATAATGAAAGTCCTATAAAGTATACTTCATGTTATTATAGCCGATATAAATCTAATTATTCTATATTAGTATAAAAAGATTTTACCTTAAGGTCTTACAGTAATTGTCTACTCTATTCTATTTATATATATACATCTAATTACACTATAGTTATAAAAGAATTATGCTTAAAGCTTAATAACCAAAAAACATATTTAATTTAGGTTAAAACTTAGAAAAACCAAAAACAAAAAAAAAACAACAACAACAAAACAAAAAACAAAAAATGATAAATATATTAAAAGACTTACAAGTAAGATTAGATGCACCTACTCCTTGAGGTATATACTTTCAAGACAGTGCAACACCTCAAATGGAAGGTTTAGTAGAATTACACGATATAATTATGTACTACTTAGTGATAATATTATTTAGTGTAGGATGAGTATTATTTTCATTAATATGAAATTTTAATGATAAAAAATCACCTATCTCACACAAATATTTAAACCATGGAACATTAATAGAATTAATATGAACTATTACTCCTGCTATAATATTAATATTAATAGCTTTCCCTTCTTTTAAATTATTATACTTAATGGATGAAATAAATGATCCATCTATGACAATAATAGCGGAAGGTCACCAATGATATTGAAGTTATCAATATCCTGATTTCTTAGATTCAAATAATGATTTAATAGAATTTGATTCTTACATAGTACCTGATTCAGATCTAGAGTCTGGAGCTTTAAGATTATTAGAAGTAGATAATAGAGTAATTCTTCCCGAATTAACTCATGTTAGAATACTAGTAACATCTGGAGATGTAATACATTCTTTTGCTGTACCTTCTTTAGGTCTTAAAGTTGATGCATATCCTGGTAGATTAAATGAAATATCTGTTTTTATAAATAGAGAAGGAGTATATTATGGACAATGTTCTGAAATATGTGGTATACTACATTCTTCTATGCCTATTGCTATTGAAGCGATAAGTCCTTCTAAATTTATAAATTGATTATACAATTATAATTAGTAATCAAAGGGGTATTAGTCTTAATTGGTAAAGAATAGTATTACGGCCACTAAGTTATAAGTTCGAGTCTTATATGCCCCTGCGGACTCCACTCAGTAAAATAAACTGATAAGTGCTGCATAATTACAAAGTAGCCTTTTTTACACGTCTGAATATTTCTAGTTTATATTAACCAGGGATATTTTGTATATATATACCCATAATGTGTGGTGTATTATACCTTGCTTGAATAATTTTTAAAATAATTAAATAAAACAAAATGAGTTTAACTTTAATACTTTTTTTAATAGGAATCTTAGGATTCGTATTTAATAGAAAAAATATAATATTGATGCTTATTTCAATTGAAATAATGCTATTGTCTGTAACATTCCTTATATTAGTAAGTTCTATAAGTTTAGACGATATAATAGGACAAAGTTATGCAATATATATAATAATAACAGCTGGAGCCGAATCTGCAATAGGGTTAGGTATCTTAGTTGCTTTTTATAGATTAAGAGGATCTATTGCATTTGAACATAAATAATGTATCTAAGTATAATCTTTTTACCTTTATTAGGGTCTACAGTATCTGGATTTTTTGGTAGAAAATCTGGTATAACAGGATCACATATTATTAGTACTGCTAGTATAATACTAACAACAATTTTATCTCTTATCGCTTTTTTCGAAATAGGTCTTAATAATAATACAGTATCTATTTCTTTATTTGAATGATTAGTAAGTGAATCATTTAATATAGTATGAAATTTCCAATTCGATAGTTTAACAGTATCCATGTTAATCCCAGTCTTAGTAATAAGTTCTTTAGTTCATATATATTCTATAGGATATATGAGTAATGACCCACACAATCAAAGATTTTTTAGTTATTTAAACTTGTTTACTTTTATGATGATATTATTAGTTACAGGAAATAATTATTTATTAATGTTTGTAGGATGAGAAGGTGTAGGAGTTTGTTCTTATCTTTTAGTTAGTTTCTGATTCACTAGAATAGCAGCTAACCAGAGTTCTATATCTGCTTTCTTGACTAATAGAGTAGGTGATTGTTTCTTAATAATAGGTATGTTAGGTTTATTATGAACATTAGGTAATTTAGATTACAGTACTGTTTTTTCATTGGCTCCCTATATTAACTCAAATGTTGTAACTATAATAGGAATATGTTTATTAATAGGTGCTATGGCTAAAAGTGCTCAAATAGGACTTCATATTTGATTACCTATGGCTATGGAAGGGCCTACTCCTGTTTCTGCCTTAATACACGCAGCTACTATGGTTACTGCTGGAGTATATTTATTAATACGTTCATCTCCTTTTATCGAGTATAGTTCTACGTTATTACTAATATGTTTATGATTAGGGGCTATAACAACTTTATCTAGTTCTATGATAGGATTATTTCAAGGAGATATTAAAAAAATTATAGCTTATTCTACTATGAGTCAACTAGGTATGATGGTTATTGCAATTGGATTATCTTCATATAATGTTGCTTTATTTCATCTTATTAATCACGCTTTCTATAAAGGACTATTGTTCTTAGGGGCTGGAGCTGTTATTCACGCAGTGGCTGATAATCAGGATTTAAGAAAATACGGAGGGTTAATACATTGATTGCCTTTAACTTATTCTGTTATTTTAATAGCTAGTCTTAGTTTAGTAGCATTCCCATTTATGACAGGATTCTATAGTAAAGATCTTATATTAGAATCTTCTTATGGTCAATATCATTTCCCTAGTATAGCTGTATACTTTATCGGAGCTATAGGTGCGATGTTCACTACTTTATATTCAGTTAAAGTATTATATCTAACTTTTATAGCTAATCCTAATGGATCTTTAAATTATTATAAAAATGCACATGAAGGTAATATTTATATGAGTCTTCCTTTAGTTATTTTAGCTATTTTCTCTATATATTTTGGATATTTAACTAAAGATATTTACGTAGGTTTAGGATCAGGATTCTTTAATAACAATAGTATTTTCATTCATCCTATGCATGAAATTTTAATAAGTGCGGAATTTGGGCTTAGTACAATAGTAAAATTATTGCCATTTATTCTTACAATCTCTGCTACTGCTTTTGCTATAGTTTTCTTCGAATTTTATCCTTATTTCACTAACAAGATTAAATTAAGTAAAATAGGTTATAATATATTTGGATTCTTTAATCAACGTCTATTAATAGAATTATTTGTTAATAAATATATAGTTAACGTAGTGTTAAAGCTAGGAGGTCAAACAACCAAAGTCTTAGATAGAGGAAGTATTGAATTAATAGGTCCTTTCGGGGCTGAAAAATCCTTATTAACAATAGGTAAACTAATAAATAGTTTAAGTACAGGTATGGTTACTAACTATGGATTATATATAATAACAGGTATAATGGTATACATAATGAGTAGTAATTTCTATTTATTTAACATAAATAATACATTATTATTATCTATAATAAGTATCAACATATTTGTATACGTTTTAAGTAGACATACTGTGAAACATGGAAATACGATCTCACGGTGGAACCCCTCTAGTTAAAGAATCAATTATAAATATATTTAATATGACCCACATGGGTCAAAAGAAGACTCGTTTGTAGGTATGACGGGTTGAGCTGTAAACTCAATAGCTAATAGCTATCAAAGGTTCGAGTCCTTTTCTTCTTACTAATATATCCAAGAGA